AAATAAAGTTATGAAGGACTTGCATCTATCAGTAAGAGGAAATTGAAATGCAGGATGAAACTAAGGCCCCACTGCTGTATGACATAGTATGTACTGTGTGAAGTGTTGAGGATGAGATTGTTTTAACAGTCAGCGGGAGTCAGAACCTCAATACCTCCAAAAAATCTGTCTCTCTGTGCTTTACATTCTTATTGCTTTCTTCGAGGGGGAGGGAGGTTTGAAGGTCACAGAATCAGGCCATTTGCGTAACCAGAACCAGATGATTAATTACTTTTTTAGGGATTTTGTTCCTCTGAAAATTTTATCCCAGAAAAGCATGAGGACACTCAAAGTCTGTGGTTGAAAGAAAATTATATTAAGATTATAGAAAATTGTACGTCACAGTTCTATGGGAAGTGGCTTTTCATTGTTTAGCATAAGAAAAAGAAACACTAACAAGTCAGGCTACACAGCTGGAGTTTGTGCTGTGTAATAAGCTCCAAATAAAGGAGTTTTATAACAAACCTTTAAATATTGCGCCCAGGCTGAAAGTACATATATTGGAAAGTCTCAGACTGAAAAGAAATCAGTTAGCAGAGTTAACATTCAAACTAGATTAACTGTCATTTTAGCTTAAAAAAAACTCCCAGTCCATACTTTCATGCTCTTCTCCAAAAAATTTGGAACTCATCACTGGAAATATCACCTCAAAAATCTTTTTCTGCTTTCTATTATTTAAACCAGAGACGTATGTACTCGTTTGAGCAAAATAAGAATGAATCTAATTTTTTTTTCTTAAATCAGAAACAGATCCCGATGAGGATTTCAAAATTATGAGAACACTTTTTTATTTAGATTTCTGTACATTTAAGTAGTATGTTCTAGGGAAAATGCTGATTATTGTCAAATGTTGAAGAGTAGATCGCAAAGTCCATTGAAACCGCTGGGAAAACTGCAAACAATTTTGATGTTCTTTGAATCAGGCCCTTTCTGGAACAGTCCCTGAACATAACACATGGGATGGGATGAAACATATCTCATTATGCTGTTCCAAAGGGTCTGTTTATCATGGCAAACTGACAGGTTTGAGACTGTCACACAGTCTGTTTCCTTCTTTGCACTTTGTTTAGTTCAATTTTGGCTTGGGCTGACCGAACATTATTTGGGTGACTCTTGCAGACCCAGGGCTCTTCCCAAGAGGCAGCATGGATGTGGTAACTGGGGTTAGGTACAAAGAGGCAGGCTGGTTGTGTAAATCCAGACCGCGCTAATGCCACTCATCCCCAGAGCCGGAGAGTGGTTCTGGACACATTAATAGGCGACAGGTTTAGCAGAATGGAGGCCTCTGTCAACTCTTATCCAAACTCCACTTTTTTTCAATGAAGTCTCTCTGTTTTCAGCTGGTTTTACTCTGGAACACTATTTTTGTAGTCTCTCATTTCCCCAACCTTGTTCAGTGTGTGAGTTGATCACAGCAGCAAACGGGCATGGATAGGGCTAAACAACAGGCAGACCTATAAAGAGATCGTGCTGTCTTCTGTGGGTCCTCTTCAATGTGTATAAAGTTCCCCACATGAATATGTTTCCAGGAGCCAGCCACACTGATCCTGTAGGAGGAAGCACAAAGGGGTTGGTGCCATACCAGGCGTTTGCTTCTCCAGAGCTTGGCTGACCTTGTTTGGATGCTGCTTTGCAGCCTACCATCTAGGCTGGGAGAGAGGGCACGGGCACCAGTGCCATGTCCTCCAGACTGAGCTGCTCCACAGCTCCCTTAGAAGAAAGCAAATCCTCAGCCACTTTTCTTCTGGACTGCTTTCTGGTGGTTTTGTCTTGCCCTTCCTCAGCACCAGGAGCTGGTTGAGCCCAATGCTTCTGAAAGCCCCATTCTTTGGGAATGCTACTGAATGGGCTTTTTACAAGGTAAAGTTTGACCTAAGGCTTTTGATATTCTGAAAGGAATCCCTTTTACAATGAGTGATTACATTAAAAGGACAATTCTGTTCTCTCACTGGAGTGAGATCAGAATTGGGGTTTCTGCAATTTTTCTGTGGGCTATAGCTTTGATATAACACAATCCCCCTGATGTTTTTAGTGCTGATAAATAAATGTATTTATATGTTGTGCTCTTACATTCTTGGTACTAACTGAGGAAGCAGAACAATAACATACTCTTGTCAATACAAGCACTGCCCTGGGAATTGACTAATTAACATAAAACTCAGCCCTGCAGGGACATTTCCAGGTTCATTTTTTGCTGCCTCAGCAAACTATAGGGTTTGGGCTGTTAACTACTTTCAGATGCTCTTTGTCTTTCAAGAAAGAAATAAAGAACATCCACATTGCTTTAGGCAAGTTAATGGTTCTACAGAACACTTACCTTTTTTACCATATGCTTCACGGCAGATTAAAATCCTGAAGGAGCTAAGGATTATATACCATGTATAGTCCTTTGGCAGAAAAACACGTAGTCTGAACTAAAAGTGAATGGCTGAATGTGACATTTATATTCATTGTTTTTCCAGAACTGCATACCAGGATGTTTGATTTTACTCAAAATAATCCCAAAGCAGAGGTTTTGTAGGTGCTTTGATTTCTCAGGGTCTCTTAAGGTTATGACAAGCAGTTCACAGTGGCTACTGAGAAAACTAGAGAGACTTGCATATTGACTTCTATAAAATTAGAAGGAAAAATGGCCTAACTTGGCAAAAAGGAGATGTGCCTAAAATTTTCAGAAACTCAGAATTCTTGGGGATTGTGTGTGAGCATATGTGTTTTTGTGAATTACTTACTTCTCATTCACATTCTTTTCTTTGGATAACAAGCCAAAATGTTCTTGTCTACAGGAAAAATATGAGAGAAAAGAGAAAGAAATTCAAATGAAAGGACATTTGAATCTCACAGGTAAAGAAATCTCATTATTTTTATTTGTTTTCCCTAGATCTGGACGTTATAGCAAATTTCTCTTCTGCTACTACCATTTGGTTTTTTTTAATTTTTAATAATAATTATTATTAATCTATTATTAATGGACATGTCTGCCCATTGCTGCTATTTATGAATGAACAAAATCACATTCTGCAATTCATAGAAATCAGCTGTAGAAAGTAACGACAGAATAATTTTCTGTCAGAGGATTGAAAACTGTTTGATTGGTGCTAAAGAGCTACAACTAAAAGGACTCAGGAGTTACATTTGAATAAACACCAATACTTTCAAAGTGTTTTGTAAGAGCAGAAAAAGAAGCATAAGTGCGAAGCACAAGTTTGAGAAAGCTGGTGCCTCAGCACATGCAGATACATGCAATATTCATAGTTCTGTTTTGTACACACATTTGATTGTTGGTGCATGAATGCGCTTGTTTTGTGAGTGCACTTCAGGCATGATTATCAGAAGACCACGTGTGTAAATATAACTATGCATGCCTATTGGCACAAGTTATTAAGGTTGCCCAAACCTATCTGATCCTGGTGCATGAAATTCACAAACTTCACCCATTTGGAACAAAACTGTACTTGATCTATGTCCGCTTGCACTTTTTTTTCCTGCAAATAATAGTTGAACATAACAGTTCAACGTTTGGTAAAAAAAGGAAGAAAAAACCCTAAGAAAACACATACTGTTTCATTCTTAATCAGACATCCTGGAAAAGTTTTGTTTGTGTCACTGTGGCTTTTAGGTTTCAGATTGAGGGGAACTTTGAACTGAACTAGGAGAAGTTAAAGAAATCGGGAAGGTGGGGGAAAGTGAAATCTGATGTGGAGCCAGCAAGTAGCCAGGACTATCTGAGCAAGGTGATGCCTAAGAAAAGAGAGATTTGTTATGAAAGATGAGTGACCACAGGATGAGGAATCAGAGGCAGAGAAAAAGAAGGGTTGCTACAGCAGTGTTTTGAAGAGGATGAGGCAGCAAGTGTCAGTCTTGGGATGACAGGAAAAAAAAAAGCAGCCTTTGTGCCCATCTACCACTTGGAATGGCACCATGTGTCTGTGAAAATCACTGGCAAAATCTTCATTTCCTCTCATCCCCATCAACACAAGCACTGGCAATTTACTACTACCATCATCTATTATGACAAGTCTTGTGCCAGTCACAGGGGTCTGTGTTTCAGTGTTTCTAGCACTGCAGATTCTGGAAGTCAGCAAATGAAAAGATGCCAAAAATATGCTGATGAAATATTAGCATTCTTCTTTATTTCTATTAGATATCGCTCTCGTGATCAGTATAATAACTTTTAATTAGCTTAGTCTGCCTTTACTCTCCTGAAAAGGAAAGCTGGACATAGGTTGTATTTAACTTTTCCCTGGAGATTCTTCCCTGCACGCAGCAACAGACTGTCTGTCATACTGTAGATATATGTTAAAACAGAGGGAACACTGCATTTTGCCTTTATTGTCAGGAAGTGTCAAAAGTATTAATAGCACAAATTTTGCTAGCTAGCTAAAATTCTCACACTGCAATCCTGTGCATCAGCATTTTTTTTTACCACAGATGGTCATTTATGTAACACTGTTGGAAATTGTGGCTGTGTTCCACAGCAACAGGAAAATGGGATACATCTGCACTGTGTGGGGAAAAAATACAAATGAACTAGAAGCTATGCAAACATTTAAATTACAGGGAAACGGGACTGCGATAAGCCCTGGACTGCATGAGCAGGAAGAGAGTGTCAGCCTCACCCATGCCCTGAAAAAATGGTCACATTTATGGGCTACTCTATTGTACTGAGTGGAAGTTTGTTTATGTGGGACCTTCCTTCCCTCAGGACTTCCTCTGAGAGGAAATGTCGTCACTATTCAGTAGGGGTCATTTGTTATGCATTCAAAACTCAAACATAAAATACTATCCCTGAATGCAACAAAGTGGAAAGGGATAAATAAGATTTCTTCATTTACATATTTAGAAACATTCACAACAGTTTTTCTTGCTCACCAATACTTTTGCTGAGAAAAATCAAACAGGTCTTGAGTTGGCAGAATAATACTGTTTTACAGATACCCCAGACACTACTCATTATTTGAGGAATCCCACCACTTTTGTCAGTTCTGCTATGGGAATATGTTTTAAATGGAAGAAGGGTAAAAACTCCGCAGCTGTAAAACCAGGGTTGTGCTCTTATGGGAATACTCAGGTAAGTCTGGTCCATGTTTTGGAACAAAGCACTTTGGATCTGAAGTGCTCTGGATGAGCACTTCTCTGAGGCCGTATTAGCAGCTTATATGTTCCCTCAGTTTTAATTTTTTCCTCATGGTAAAACAAGAGTATTGTTTGAGATAAAAGAGCTAATATTAGTGTTGCTTTCCCTTTGCTGTTGTCATTGTGCTGTCAGTCAAATGAAATAACTATGGATAAAACTTGTGGATGGGTAATACACCGAGCTCGTTGAGTGACAGAATGACGGAATGGCTGAGGTTGGAAGAAGCGTGTGCAGGTCACCTCATGTCATCCAACCCCTTGCTCAGGCAGGTTCAGCTAGAGCTCCTTGCCCAGGACAGTGTCCAGTTGGATTTTGAGTGTCTCTAAAGAGTGGAGACTCCTCAACCTGCCTAGGAAACCTGTTCCAGTGTTTGGTCACCCTCACAGTAAAAAAGTATTTTTCTTATGTTTAAATGGAATTTACAGTATTTTATTTTGTGCCTGTTGTCCGTGTGCTTTAATCAAGCTTGTGGTAACTGTACTGATCTGGCACCAACCACACTGGAAAGGTGCTGGGCACCAACCATACGAAGGCACAACTGAAAAGTTTTGTTCTCAACTCACAAGAGGCAGTTATTAAACTTTTCTCTCTTAGGTGAGTCTCCAGGTATGTATTGGCTCACACTTTTCTTTTTGTTTTGCATTAGGCTGTGGGACAACTGAAAACAGAGGAATGTGGGGAACTGCTGAGGGTCCACAGCGGTCTGCCGGGCACGTTCATGTCCAGGAGAGGCACCACAGCCATGACCAGCGTTGAATTCTCTTGACAGCCTGTCTCTTGACGTTTCAAGTTTCAACGCCTGTGAAGTCTATATAAAAAGTAAGTTGCCTATCATCTCTCAGGTAAATTTTCCTAAGGGTGAGGTAAAATCAAGGGGCCAAGGAAATGTTATTTAGTTTTTCCAGTGGAGCACTTAAGATCTCTCCTTCAAAGACAATAAATAAAATAAAGCACAGCACAACATTACAAATTGGTGTCAACCTGATTAAAGACCCGTTAGATAAAGCACCATAGTCGCCAAGCTTATTTTATCCTGGCTAGAGATCTGGTCCAACATATTTAGGCCAATTCCTCCCTCCTTCCTCCCTTTCTCTGCCTTCTTCCCTCCTGCACGCCCAGGGATTACCCAGGTTTTGAGTCTCTCAGTGAAGGAAGAAGTGGAGGGGCTTTCCTTTCTCACATGTACACCCAACCTTTCTGCCCAGCCCTGCGGTCCCGGCTCCGGGCCGCGGCCAGGCCACCAGCCCCTTGCATCCCATCTGAAAGAATGTCGCCTGTGAGGCAGAAATTCCCACCCTGAGAATCGCGCCTCTGTGTTGCACAACAAAGGCCCCCGCATTGTCTCCCTGTTAAGCGAGTGTTAAAATGCGCATATGTTGGCCAGGGCTGCTGCATATGAGGGTCCATTTAGGAAGCGGTGGTTTTTCCCGACCGCTGACTGCTCTGAATCCCCTCATATTAGCACATTAGCACACATGCGGGCCTTCTTATCAGATTAGCTACAGTTGTCACAGATTAGTTCACCCTGTGAAGGAGCCGCAAAGGTACCTTTGACCATTCATTCAAAAGAGCCAGAAAGGTTTGTTGTTTTTTTTTTCTTGGCTTCAACCATCAGACTGCAAAGCAAATTAAAGGGAAAGTCTCTCTCTCATTTTGGTAACAGGATAACCGAAGGATGGATATTAGGGTGGGCGAAACAGACAGACATTAATGGATACCTAATACTCATCTCAAAAATATTTATTTAACCCCTTAAAAACATTTCTGTATTTTCTTTCCTCACCAATGACAATGCTCTTTTGTTGAGATACAACCTTCTGAAGCTCAAAGTTGCTTTTTTATGTTTTGCTTCTCTTTTTTCCCTCTCCTTTTTTATTACAGCTAATTTACAGTGTGGTTCAATGATCGCTGTTCTGCAGATCGGGGTAAGGGAGAGGAAAGGACTTGCTAGTAGCTCATTACATTATTTATTTAACCCATCTTGCTCCTTAAAAGGTTGTGATAGCTGGTAAAATAAACAGTGACTCAAAATACCTTAGGCATGACTTGCAGTCTACACAGGCATCAGGACTGAACCTAGAGAAGACATAACACCTTGGAAGTGTAGTGGCAGCAGGGATTTCAACAGTTGTTTCTGAATAACCGTGGTGGTAAAGGGGGCCTAGAAAGTTACAAAAACATATAGCTGAAACTGCTGGTTAGTATTCACACCTTTGGCACACACAAAAAAAAAAAAATATGGAAGGAAACTGGTTAGGAAGGAATGCAGCAATTCATTACACCTCGGTGCTTTCTAGTGAAGGTGTTCCACATCCTTGCTGCCAGGTGTAACATCACTGTGCTCAGTTTGAGCTTGTCTATGAGCCAAAGAGGCAGAAGGAGAGGGCAGTGTTGGTGCCCTTTTAATGCCCTCTGCAGATTAGCTGCGCTGCCAGAATATGGGAATCAGAGGGGACAACCCTCAGTTTCAGGACTAGTGTTCTCTTTGTCATACTGGTGGGCTTTGGGAGTAGATCTGCAGTCCCTGCTCATTGGTCTGGTGCAGAATATTTTCTCTAGGAAATGAAGCAGAAATAAAAAACTGAGCTGTGACTTTTTCTCTGTTTGCAGTTAACCAAACTACATTATCATTAGCAGGACTATAATTGTTAACTCTTCATTCAGCTTCTCCTACAAACAGTGGAGCACAGTCTTAGCACTATTGTGTACCAGTCTGTTTCTCCACACGGACTTAAACCTGGCTCTGTTTGTAAACAGTAGAAAGTACAATAGATCATTTGTAAGGGCACTAGTACACTAACAGAGCCTGGAGTTTCGGTTCTTCTGAGCAAAAAGCCCAACTATCTGTTTTCACATGCATGCAGTCATACTCTTCTAAGACTAAAATTTTAGACTCAGAGCATGAGCCTTTTGGTCTTGGAATCATATCTGACAGCGAAACCCTAAAATACTTCCAGCCTAATTCTGACTCACTTTGTAGATCCTGTTGGAATGCAACAATATTTCTACTACAGAAATTTTTTATTTTATTGTTTTCAAATCATAATGCCACATCTATGAGACAGGGCTGTGAAGGATGTGGCAAAACCATCCCTCAGAGCCCTATGTCAAGAAAACTTACATTACTGATGATGCTTCCCAGCCCTAAGTTATAAACAACAATTTATGATCAAGATAGTGAGGCAACAGCAGTAACACCAAAGCGGAGAGTATATGGGAGAAATCAAGGAGTTGCACCCTGCTTTTGCTTTAAGTGGTTGCATCTTATTAGTTGATGAAAACATTCTCCATGCTATGAAGTTACGAGAAGAGTTCATTGGGACATCTGTTTCTTCTTTTGTCAGATAGGATGGTAAAACCTTACATTATTAATTTCCTGTCTCATTTTCTGATAAAAAGCATCAGTGTTTGTATTTTTGTATTTCCACATGCACCTAGTTCAGTATGGTAATTTTAAAATTCTATTTCATTATATATATATATATATATATATTTTATATATATATATGGTGTTAACTGATTTGTTCCAGTTTTGAATTTCTCTTTTGAAAGGGTGTGATGTGAAAAGTAGCAGTGAAAGTAGAATTATAGTTCTCAAAATGATTATTTCCCTATCCATCGAGAAATTCTTTTCTGTGAAAAACAATTTTTCAGTCTTCCACTGACATCTTTCAAATGCACCCACTGTGACTCTATGTAGCTTATGCATTGACTTCAGTCATTAACCTGAATTTAGCAAAGCCATTTTGTTGATGATCATCTGTCTTTATCCCAAAGCATGAAAATAGCTGCAGAGCTAAAGGCCTAAATTCACAGTAATTATGTCTGTTTTCCTCCTTAAATAAGCACATAGGAGTCTGGGTCAGAGTATGACTCTTCTGTTTCCATTAGTTATTGTTACTACGCTTGTTGTCCCAAGTATCACCTGTCTTGCCAGCGTGAGTAGAGTCCCAGTTCGAGGGACCCTGTTGAATGTGAAAGTGCTGATTTTCACACAGTCCTCTTTACTTAATGAAGTTAAGTCTGCAGCAATACATTTTGGTGCTGAGGATGTGCATTAGAGTATTTTCTGGAACTCCGATTCAAATCCAAACAGTAACCTTCCATGCCCCCAAAGCAAAATTTAACTTCTGTGTACTAAATGTTTGATTTTTATCTAAATGATAAAACAGTCTGTCTTGCTCACCTTGGCAAAAGAGGCTAGAATTGAGACCTGTGGCATTTTATGCTTTGATTCATGTAACTGAGTCCCTGGCAGCTAACCCTTATTTCTCTTATGATATGGTGGCTTTCTCCCTTTCCACAATCCTGGGTAGTGTGGCAGCCTGCTCCGTGAGCTGCCCATGCAGTCGCGACGTATAGCATGTGGGGTCAGAAAACGGTGAGGAGGCAACGCCATTGGGTTGGGGATGGAGAGCTGCTGCCTGCTGTGCTCCATGTGTGGAGACAGAGCAAGGCTGGCAGCATGGTCCCTGGCAGGAGCTGAACATCACTGCCTCCCTGCCCTGGCCCTGGCACCTAACCGCTTGCTTTTGTCACCTCAAGTGGTCTGGCACTCTGTGGGGAGAGAAGGAACTTGACATGTCTGCAGGACACCCAGTTTTGGCCCTTCTTCACTTCTGTGATGCAGCTATTAAAAGAAGCTTCTTGGCTTTGGTCATTTTATGACCTAGCCAAAAGAAACACACAATTTTATTTGAAACTTCCATGAATTTTTAAAAACTCATTTCTATCAAAATAGCAACAACACGTTATTGAATTATTTGGGTTGTCCTTACTTGTTTCAACAAACATCTGCTTATTTTAACACACTGGATTAGACTCAGTCTTCATCCAACATGAATAGTAAATCAATTATTTTAAATACAGGAGAGCCTCTCCACTTACAAGTCTTTCCCATGCTGATGAACTCCTGCAAGCTCCGTGGCTGCTGGCCTGGTCTGGGGAGCCTTGTTCCCATTGATAACGTTGCTTATTGTGAGAATATTGGCTACGCAAATCCTGACGCTTGGTGTGCAGATTTGCATTCCAATACTCGGAGCGCTCTGTAAGGGTGCGCAAGGCTGGTATGCCGGCTCTCGAAGCACAATGGGAATTATGGATATGTGTCTCTGGGCCAACAATTATTTCCATGTGCTTGCTAAGTGAGTGCAGAGAGGGAAGACTTTCCCCTTGTTTAGTCTTTATCACCGTCTTTGGTTCTGTATTGTATTTTAATATAAACCTCCCCCTCCAACCCCACCTTAACCCAGCCCTGTGAGATATTTGCCTGGCTTTCATTAAAACACTAGGGCATGAAAAGCTGTAAGTTCACAGCGCTGGAGGGCATCTTTGCTGAAGTTGGAATCGCTGGTAAATAACTTGCTGCACTGTTGGAAGTGTTAAAAGTAACTAAGCACCTAATGAACGAGTACCTGAACAATAGAGTTAGTCAAACTACTCCCACGATTCTTTTTTGCTAGTAGAAGTAAATAAATAGTAAGTGGTTTTCCAACCGTTATATATTGTTGGCAGCTCAGGCTCCCTATCATACATGTGTAGGTTCACAGGGCTAAAGAATATCATACTAATGCATAGGGCCCTGTCTAGCTATCAAAAGCAACAGGTCTGTGGGCAGACTTAGGCTTTTCCTTCTCTCAGAGGAGGCTGGGCTACAAAAATAACAGTATCAGAGCAACAGCTGGCTTAGTCACATAATGCTCTGCTATATAGTCTGGACTTCTTGTTTTCATTTCACTTTCCTTTGTTTTAGAGACAAAAAAGGAAGCCCTTGGGGGAAAAGACTTTCAAGTTTATTGCTTGACCAAAGTTAGCTGACTCCAACATAAGCAGCCTTTATTAACTAGAGCTTTAACTTTTCTTTCTCTGAATGTAGCATTGACACTGGTGTCTCTGTTCAGCCACAGAACCAGTACCAAACAAGCCCTGGTGCAGGGCGGCAGGCTTTCTCACGCTGCTTTTCCAACTGTTGTAATGTCATCTGCCGTGGACTATCCCTAGGGTTAATTGATAAATCACCCTGTACAGTCATAAACATCTTAGACTCTGCCCTTAGCCTGCTCACTTAGGTATCACTCTGCACTGTGTGGCTTCTATTTTAGGAAACGGTTTGAGGTTCTTCACATGGAAGCAACAAGCCTTTTCCAGTGCCAGCTCTACTATAGTTTGAAATCTGTGGCCTGTATCAGGGACTGATGGAGCTACTGTTCGGGTGGGAAAGGGGGAGAGCTGGACTGCTCAATGGGATCTTCTCTGTCAAGTGACAAGTACTTCTACTTATCCCACACCTCCTACCCTGGACTGGGCTAGTTGAGGGCAGTCCAGTTACTGAGCCAGCTGCACCAGCCATCTAATTTCAATGCACTGTTCTTATGGAAAAGAAATGGTGATGTCCTGGTCAGCCCTAGTACTGGCCCTAAATTAGACTGAATTGCTCTTGCTAAAAGGGTCAATTCTATTGCTTCAGTCCTTTGATGAAAGATCACATAAAAGAAGAATGAAATGAAGAATAACACTAACATTTTATCCAAGGTGCCTGTAATACTGCATATTGGTGATGGATGACTAAATAATTTTGTGTCTTCATAACTTTACACAGCTCAGCAGTGTGATACACTGTCTTATTTCTTTTGCTTTTTATGCTGAGCTATATGAATAACCGTCTGGGTTCCTGAAGCAGCAAGTTAAATATTTTCTCTATAAGGTCACTTTTGTTATCACATGTGGTGTTGCAAGGAAATTTCCAACTTAGTTTCAAAATAGCTTTGGCAGAACATGAGATTCAAGCCAAGAAAGCCGCCTCCTCCTTTTCCCAGCTTCTGTCAACACCCGATCAAGGGTCGGCAACCTAAACCCGGCTCATATGTAGTTGGCTAGCTCGTTTTTTTATTTCTCCAGGGACAAAAGCAGACTTCATTGCTAAGATAATGGACATCCCTTCCTGCAGTGATTGAGTCCTAGGAACCCTCTTCTTAGGTGCATTGCATAATCTAGATTTTTACTTTCCATTCTTGGGTTAGGCATGAAACATATATTTCAGTGAAAACAAACGCTGCTCCCAACATGTCTGGCTTTCTCTTTTGACACAGTTTCTTGCACAGGAGTTTACTTGCCAGCTAGCTATCAAAAGGTGAGCGAAAATACAAATCTTTATTTGGATAAGCTGTAGTGGAGCTTACCTTTTGTAATAACCAGTTTATGTTTTTCTCACACTATATCTAATGTGTTTTGCTATGAATTTGACCTTTTAGGTTATTTTGTGTGTCTGAGTCTGTATCAAAAATAGAATCAGGGATCTAAATTGTGGTCTCTGGCTTGTTTCCTGCCTTTGAAGAATCTCTATAGACCACAGGATCAGCAATATTCAGAAGCAGGTATATTCAGGACAGGTACCCATCATTGCCCCTGTGGATCTGGTCACCAAAAACTTCAAATAAGTCATGCAAGATCACACATCAGGCTCCTCTTCCCCACTCAGCAGGCAGCTGAATTTGGATACAAGTACTGGATCCATGAGCCTTGAAGTTTTCCTGCATCTGATCAGGCCCAACTTGCTTTGGTTTTTCAATGACTTCTTGAATATCTACCTTTTTTCCCCCCCTAGACTTCAGTCATGCTACTGTTTAAGGTGTTCTCGTTTGGAGAGACAGCTGTTCATTGATTTTCAGGTTTTCTCTTCTCTGATACCACCCAGCTGATTAATTTTGCTCTGACACCTTCTGTAGTACAGCAGTTTTATCAGATAGATGAGATTCAAACCATTTCATAGAGTATCTACTTTTCATTCACAACTGCCCCATCACTGGACTAAAGGGTCATAGAGACAAAGCCTAGTTTTCAGAGAAACTGAGTATTAAAGCTATCAAGAGGAGCCCTGAATTTTCTAATTCAACATTTTACTGATCTTGCCAGATAAAGAGCACCACATTCTTGTCCTGACTCAGTTCTTTAAAAAAACAACCCTATATACAAACAGAAGTGCAGAAGCTGAACGCTGAGTAAAACTGAACTGAAACTGGCTGTGATAGTGGAGGAAGTTTAGGAAGAGAAAGGGTAGAAGGTGTTGGGGAAGATAATATGTAGTGGCAGAGCTAATTTGTATAGCGTCTTCTTCTTAAAAACAAAATAATAATTAAAAAAACTCAAACCTCTGAAAAGAAAAAAAAAGGATTGTAGTGGAGAGGGTTGCTATAGTGAGAGTAATCTTACGACCTAATGTGTGAGTGCTCTCAAAAGACTGGATGTTCCAGTTCAGTGAAGCAAGATGGCCCCCTGCAGTATTGTTAGCCCCTTCACAAAGAAAGTTTGCTTCTAATCTAGGAACATCACTGTACAAAACACCAACAGATCTGCTGTGGTTTACCATTAGTTTCACTCAAAACACAAGGTAAACATTCTTTACTTTAAAACACCAGTCAAAAATAGAAGTCCTCAGTTACCAGCTTTGCTCCTTGTGCTTACGAATGCCTCCTGCACGGTTCTGACGTGAGACTGAAACAAAATTGGTTTTAGAATAATACCTCTGAACCCTCAGGAAACAAAAATACTCTCTCAAACTCATGTGGTAAAGTTTGCAATAGGGTAGTATTAAAGACTGAAAAGAAAGTCTTGCCAGAGTTGTGAAGCCAGGAGACGTAAAACTTCTTCATGGGTGAGAAGGTAAACTTCAGAAAAAAAGCGCTGTGCTCTGCATGCATTCGGAATAGGAACATTGATGTGTATTGTGTGCATGAAAAGCTTTGTATTTCTCCCATCCCTATTACATTTCCCTGACACTAGTGAGAATAGAACAGCATACTTTTTTGAAAAGAAAAGAAGTTTAAACAATATATTGGTATTTTTGCAATGTTTGGGGCTTTCAGGTTATCAAATTCTTTTCACTGACATAACAAATCACTGTAAAATATGTGCTTTTTAACAGCGGACCAGTTTCATGCTTTAGAATTTGTACATGCTGTGGAGTTGTATAATCAATATACATCTGTAACCTGTGCCTGGTAATGTGCAGCAAAATGCAGAATTTACTGTTTATTTAGTAGTTATGCAGGGATATGCAGTTAGCTTCCCTCTGAAGTATATGAAACTTCTTTTACTGCCATCTGCAACTTAAAGCACCATCTAGGCCACACATTGCAAAAGCTGGAAAAAGAGAGGGGGACCAGATAAAAAGGGACTCAAATATTTTCTTAGCAATTAAATACAACAGTTCATAAGGTTCATGGTCATGAAGCCAAATATAAATTCCTTTCCTAGTCCTGTTTCCTCTGCCCCCTCCCCCTGCTTTGTATACCTCTATGATTTCTAATGCTATCATTTGCAAGGCAGTAACACTATGGCCAGTGCTTGACAGAGAGCTGTGCCAGATGACCAGAAGTAAAAGCATTTGAAAAGAAGGCTGTTTCATAATAATTCTAATTCACGCTTTAGGTTGTTCCCATCAGATTTCCAATGTACCACAGAAAATCAAAAAATGGACTTGGGAAGTTTGAATGAGTGTAAACTTTAATAAAAATTAATTTCCTCTCTACCTCCCAATGCTGAACTTAACACATCACTCCCCGAAACCCACCCAAGCTCTAAAGACTCAGTGTTGTGAGGTCTGTGTGGCCTTCTACAGAGTGCCTTGGTGTGGGAGCTTGGATTGTTTTTGACCCTGTGACACTGAATGGCCAAGAGCTTCCATGCAAGCACAATGGTGCTGTTAGTGCCCATTACTAAAAGCCTTCTTGTTTCTTTCAACTGCTCACAGGCCTCCTAAACAATGAAAGAAATCCATACATCATTAATAAGGAGATTTAATTTAAATTCTGCTCTAAGAGAATTCTCAGATATCCTCCTTTTTTTTTTTTTTTTTTTTTTTTTTAGTGAAAATTGCTGAAGTGTGATGTAAGGCAGAATCTTAATGCAGAGAAGAGTTGGGCCTTATTTAGGAATGCCTGGAAACTAACAGGAATTGTAGTCATGGAGCAAACTGGAAAGCACTACTGGCAGACCAGTGAGCAGCTCCCATGGAATGAAAGCTTGCTGAGTTTGGGCTATGTTAGCTAGTGAAAAAAAGTCTGTGAGCCTTCCTGTAATATTGTGTCTTTTGACACAAGGGATTTGATGACTTTTAAATTTCTAATGATGGTAACTATTTTTATTGGGACTACTACATATATGCAGAATTTCTAACAGCCATTTGTCACTTAGAATGGACTCATTTTCACTAGAAAAGGGAATTGGTAAATTCCAACAGAAAGTTGATGTGAAAGAAAATGGAACAGGATAGCCCTTATTCATCTTTGTAGTGAAAGGTTGTTAATATACACATCAATAATTTTACTTCTACTTGTGAACACTTGACAGTTAAAATCAGCTAGTGCAAAAGACTCAGGGTTATTTGTCACATGAAAATAATGTGAGTTAACTTTGCCTCAGCTCTATCTCTACTGTCTTCAGTGGAATTAATTACATGAGGAATGAATGCTGATTAGGGATTTCAAAAGGTTTTATTCTACTGTCACTTTGAATTTGAAACCATTTTCTCATTTTGATATTTTTTAGGAAAATAAATAACAACAGCAGAAGATTTCAGAGAAACCTCTAAATTGGATTATACTGCGTGAGAGACTGGTTTATACTGCTAAGATTAGTCCATCTGCCTGAGAAATGCCAGAAACAATTTACACTGCCTTCAGTGCAGGTATATGTAAGTAACATCTTTAAATGTTTAAAAGTGATTCTAGTGCAGAATGTGCCAGCATACTAATGAATAGGTGGGGAACAACTATTGTATCATGCTTACTCTTCTCAGGTTCCAGTAACCATGTTTAGTTTCTCCTTGGGAGTGTTTTGGTAACGTAGCAGGTATCTCTCTATGTATCTATCCATCCATCTACTACCTATCTATGCATGTGCATGCACACACACACCAATATATATAAATTTCTTTAGAGAGAGAGAAAAAAAATCTTGGAAGAAAAATTCTTCTTCTCATGCCATTAAGTCTAATTGATTGCCCTTGAATTAAATATTCTGTAGTTACACTAGACTCATTCAGAGCAGAGTTTGCATTTTAGCAGATAGAAACGTTGTTATGTAAACTGAATTCTCACTCTGAATGCACTTCTCGTACAGCTCATGCACAATTCTTTTTAAGTTAGGTGAATCAAAATGGCTCATAAAAAGGTTTGATTTTATATGCACACATAACACACATATACATATATAATTTTGGAGAAATATATTGTAGATATAGCTCCAAGTCTGCTCTCTGATGGGTATTATGGCTTCCAATGAAGGTAGCTGCAAAAAAATCCCACAGACTTCTCTAAGGCACATTCAGTGATTCTTTTACTCCAGGCTCCCTGATCTCTGTAAACCTCAGTAGAGCCTTATCAAAAATATCACATTCAATTTAAAGATTCTTAAATCCTTTTGCAGCTACTCCCAACGTAATTTGAGGAAGACACAAGAAGTTTCCCTGGAAAACTTTTTGTTTTGAGGAGATTCTGGAACTTGTCTCTATATCAAGTTTTCACAGTATACTCAGCAAGTACATGATTATTTTACTGAGCAGTTAAATACGATTTCTTTGCCATAAATGTTTAGGCAGCAATATCAACAAGCTTAAAACAGGAAATTTAAGAATACTTTTTTGATGTAATGATATATGCTTCTGAGGATGAGATAATTCTTTGGAATTTGGGTACATCTGCATTAATGTTTCAGTGTGGGTCAGGCCTGTGCTTTTAAAGTGAATCTCTTGCTTGTCTCCAGCTACCATAGGTTGGTTCTCATCAGAGAGAGCACAAACTGGATTCTTTTAGGATGTCATTAAGCCAAAAGATGCAAACACAATGCACTCCAAACCACCAACTGGTAAATCAATTCACACTTGTATATTCCTTTGAATGCGTAAATAAGTTCATGTTGAGCATGTACACATCCTTGCTATGTTTGTTTTCACAAATATTTGAGCAACTGAGCCTCATTAGCCAGAACAGTATCAGAGACTCGATAACAAAGTCACTTGAATGAATATGCATGAAATCACCATTAGTTTTGCATTTAGAGTAACTATTCTGCACACATATTTAAGCAGGAAATGGACAGCAAAGCAGCCATGCGACTCGTTCCCTTGAGCTCAAGTGAGAGAAGTATTTCAGGCCTGATTTTCTACTGCTTTGCATCTTGCATGTTTCTGAAAAATGCATGTGAAACATTATCCATTCTGTTTTGAAAACATCTCACAACAATGAATAATGTTGTTTCAGTAAGTAGTTATGTTATTCATCTGTCTGTATCTAATTTTTGCTTATGCTTAGAATGTAAACTTTCGAGAACAGGGATATACCATTTTGGTACTATGCCAAGCAGAGTAGGATCTTGTTCAACGTCTGGAACTCCTATGCACTGTCCCAGTGTAGTTATGCAATGTTGGAGATGCTGGAGACTAAATCATCTCATATTTAGAATCTTGTAAATTGTAGAGGACATATGCAATCAAACTGCAAGTTAATATAAGAGTCGAGAGAATACTGATCACTATGCTGTACAAAGGGCAATCATAGATACTCATTCCGTGAGCAGAAAAGCAAAATTTTCTAAGACGTGAGTTAGGAATTATTTGTTACCTATGCTCTAGTAAGTACGTCTATGGGACGACATTATAATCATGCCATACGATGACCAAAAATGGAGATTCTAGTATGGGAAACATTATTTTCTGCTCCCTCCCTTCCTCCTCTCCTTCTCCACCCCCCACTCTTTTGTTCTTTGCCATTCAGTGTTTTGGTTCAAGTTAATTAAAGATTCCTGTTGCAGCCTCCTGGAGTGAAATTCTGGCAGTATGCCCAGTGCCGCCATAGTCATGTGTAAGCAGCCCCTCCAGTGAGCTCCATGATGTCTCTAAGAAACTATACAAAGAGGAAGAAAGAAACTGAATCCAGATGGAATGGGAAATCAGATATTTTTTCCATTTGTGCTGAAATCTGTGAAGGCTGCCCCATAGGTTGAAAGAGAAGGCAATTCACATACTCTGCAGTCTCAGGGAAAAGCATGTTTTCTCCCCCACCCCTCCACCCTTCATTGAAGATGAATCTGTGAGAAAGCTTACAGTGAGACTGCGAACTCAGTAATGCAAAACATGTTTTCCCAACTCTGCTTTACTCTGCTAGCTATAGAAAGGTGTAGGATAGACCTGTCAGGGGAACACAAAAAACAAAACAAAAGAATCAAAAGAGTGACTCAGGCAGACAAAGTCTCTTCCTAATGACAGGGTTACAAGAGAATTTGATATCCAAACCAACATTTTGACACACAATTCATAGTGAAAAGAGGATTTAAGGCATTTAAAATGCCCAACAGGAAAGTAAACATGTCTAACACACTAAGCAATAACCACATCCTGAACTCCTTGTTCAGTTAAAAGGCACATTAAAAAGATTACAAAAAAATGTATAGTACATAGTTATTTCTTGGATCACACATGCATAACAAAAAAAAATCAGGAATGTCCCTGGAGAAGCATGGATGTGGTGTATTTTGTGCTTGTGAGTCTTCGTCAAATTCAGTGCTTGGTTCTTAAAACGGGGCACTACACTTGGTTGGTAATTACTGAAGAATTCTCCTGTGGATTAACAGTGTCATTAGAAATCAAAACTGTGGGTATTTGCAGGTATACTTTATATATAAATTACAGTTTGCTTTCCGGCAGATTCTGTGCTCACTAGGGATATTCTGGAATTCAGTGGGGGAAAGGAATAAATCGTGAAACTATCATCTGCAGTATTGCTTGCTTTCTCTATGCATTTCGTTTCACTTTCAGCACCATGTGAATTTGTTGCTCTCTAATGGCCTTGTTGGTTTTTCAGGATTTTGGTTGTTTGGGGGTGGGAGGTGTTATATGAAGAGTAAATTTTGGCCAGGGCAATTATGGAAAAGAAGTCTTAAACTTAAGAGCTGATTTCTAAGGACTGAATTTTAATTTTAAAATACCAGGGCAGAGTGATTTCTTGGCAGAGAGAACAACCTGTTGTAACACAGGAGATTCCCCCTTTGAGGTGCAGACTTGGGATGGAGGTTATGATTCAAGGTAGTACAGTTTTAGCTGATGGTTTAGAGCAATACTTCAGCTGAAATGAACCCGATAATTGCGGTGCAGATTTCCCCAAATAGTAGGTTGACTGCAATAGCTCTGGTTCTCTGTGACTAATTGGATGTTTTGTTTCCACTTTTTTTTTTTTTAAGCAACAAAACTGGTCCGAGAAGCTGTCCAGGTGGAAGGGGCAATAGATGTATGCTGATACGGGTATGTGTGTTTCTTGTCCTTTCAAACCTTTGAAGCCAGGCTGGGGTCAAATTACTCAAGCAGAACATCTCTGTTGACAAACATGTGGTCTTCAAAAAACAATCCCAGTATGAGAGGTGCTGCTAATTTAAAATAACAGGGGGGGAGGGGGGAGAAAAGAAAAAAAAAAAAAAGAGAGGGAAAACCAGTACCAGACTACATGAAATTCAACCCAACCGCCACCTTCCCTGCTAGCCTCCTTTTGTGAGCCTGCCTTCCCTGCCGCGTGAATCAGCCATGGTTGGGGTTAAATGGGTAGCTTTTGTCTCCTCACAATGGCAGAGAGTGACAGGTTGAGCTAAATGATTTACTGGTGGAGATGATTTGAAGGACAGAGCCGGGCAGCCTTGGGAACACACGCACAAGAAAAGGACAGTAGCGAATCAGCCTCTCCTCCCCCTCCCGCTTTCATGGTTTTGACTGAAAGATCACAGAGCGAGTTTCTGACAGACACAAGGACCATTGAGAGGCTATTTTTATTACTTATCCATGGCAGCCTTGCTTTGCTGAGAACAGACCTGAGGTTAATTAACCTTTGGGGAGGGGGTGGGGGTGTTCTCTCTTTTTTTTTTCCTTTTTTTCCTTTAACATTGCTTTTCTTATTGGGGATGCAGGCCCATAAGTTGGCAAGGTCACATGCCATGGGCAAAGGAAAAGTCTCTGTGTGACACTTCAGTGCAAGAAAGCTCAACAAACCCATCCCTAGCCAAAATATAGCTTTCCACACAGAAAGGCATTGCAGTGAAGGCAGCTGCTCTGAGTGGAGCCGTCCCAGCTGTTGTCAATTGGAATGTGCTAGAAACAGTGCCCCCTCCACCCCATTAAACTGCCCTGGCGGCGACGGCACCCAGCACTAATATGGATCCCAGATTGTTTCCTGAACACTGTTTGATCTGGCTGTGTGGGCGGGAATGATCCAGTCTGTTGGGATGCAGGACGTATTGGAGCGGCGGCGCGCTGCGTTTTGCACATCTCCCCAGGAGCAGGCCAAGCAGGCGGGGGCAAGATGGCGGGAGGGCCATGGGCCCTCAGCACCGACTCAGGGGAAGGCAGATCCGAGCCCCCTCTCTGCCCGCAAACTGGAGCGCTGTTTGAGAAATCGGCCAGCAGAGTTTGGACGTTTGTCAGGTAAAGTGAAGACTTTTCTTAACAGGAAAAGGACCTTACAGAGTCTTACTGTGCAGGGCATAAAAGATATCAAGGCTGGGTTTATGGATAAATCAGAACACGTAAGAGCCATATTACTCAGAAGGGGCAATGCTCTCTCTCTAGTCCATATTTCATATGGTCTATGATTTGTGAGCTACTCCTCAAGCACAGTGGACTAATAGGTCCTTGTCACAGGTTATAACCTGCAATTGTCATGTCATTGTTTCGTTCTGAGAAACAAACAGCAAAAATACTACTGCAAAAATGCAATTTTTCTAGTCCCTAACACCTAATGACAACAAAAATCCTGTGAATTGCACCCTGTGAATGTGCAGCAAAGCTTTACCCGATATATTCAGCTAATTTTAAAAAAAAGTCACTCAACAAATATCTCAGATGTATTAACTAGTTAGGGAAGAAGTTTGAACAGTAAACCCACTATGTGCAACAACACATAGCCTTTCGCTGGCTAGCTTTCAATCATAATCTCATTTTTATAATAATTTTAATGAAATCTTGTAGTTATTCAAAAGAAACAATATGAATATGTGAACATGATGGCAAAGCAACATTTCATATCAGCAAGCTTGAAAGTCATGACTTGATTTAATGGAAAAGTGAAGGGATCTATAAAATGGCAACTTAAGCGAACAGAAATGTTACTGTTAGTTAATCTGTTGTACTGTGGAGTTGCAGTATGATATCACATGATACATTTCTAAGGGCCTCTTGAATGCTCAGTTGCAAATAAACACTTCTGTTTTAAAATGCAAAGAGCAAAACAAACTAAATCTAAAAATACAAGAAGGAACTATGGTAGGTTTTTTTCTGTGAAAGAGCAGTGTTTGCAAAAGATGAAGCAACTCTATAAAAAGCTTACCCGAGAGGCTTCCAAATATGAATTTGCCATTCTAAGTATTATGGCAGGTGAAAATAGAAGAAGAAACTTTTTTCTTGCATATCCTTCCAGTAATAATCAGTGTCACTGTCCAAGTGTGCCTGGGAAGTATTGTGATTATTTCATTCTTGAAATCCTAGAGGAATAATGTAGTGCACTGTAATAGACACTGATTAGTAGAAGAAATTGGTTTCATAGCTCGTATTCATGACTGGCTCTGTATTTACAAATCTAGTCAGAAAGATCTTGAAATATATTTTGCATCTATTTCTGTTCAGGCTGACTTTCTGATGCTTCTCCCTGCATCTCTCTTTCTCAACTTGTGCCTTTGGGCCTCAAGTCCTAGTAATGCTGCTGTAGCCATCATCATCTCCAGATCTGTGTACACAGTTCTCTTGTAGGACTGGCCTACAACCCCTAGCATGTTAAGCCCTGCTTTAAAAAAGGGTCTGCTTTAAGTGGTGAAATTGATAGAGTGCTTTCAAAAATAAAGGAAATCACTGTATATATTGCAGAGGATGAAAGATATTATTTGAGGCTCAAGAGTGGTCCTTCTAAATCCAGGACCGCACAATAACAGTTATGCTTGCTTGAAGTTACCAGTGTCATGTAATTACCATGTCAAGTTCTTACCTTGTCCCTCTAGTTCGCATGAAATTAGTGTAAACTTCCTACATCTTTTTTAGCCTTTATTATGGATGGTATGTCCTGTCCCTTCTGTTTTTTTCCTGTGATTTTTCTCCTTACTTTCACTTTTTTTTGTGGCTTTTTTTTTCCCTGCACTTTCCCAGACCCTAGTTCTGTCGTCTTCTTCTCTTTCATCTGCCTTTTCTCTGACACCTTTACATGTTTCCTTGCCTCATAATCATCCTGAGCCACTGCAGCTGTAATAGTGTTCAGAAGCCAGAGGGTCCCAGACAGTTGGTTTTGAAAGTAAAGACGGGAAAACTATGTAGGGGAAGGGCAGGAAAACTATGTAAGGGTGGGAAAGGAACACCTGTAGGATGCAGGGTCTCCATTTCATTCCAGTAGGATCACAGTTTTGCTGCCTCTCTCCTGTTTGTCTTGAATGAATGCCTTGGCTGACCCCAGCTGAGTGACGAGAAACAGTCTGTTGGCAAACAAAAGCATGGAATAGGGTTGTGTTGAGTCACCCCAAAGGAGGAGTGAGACAGAGTCTCACAGTCAGGGGAGCAGAGGACAGTACAGGCTGCATGCAGCTTTCCCAGGCAGCTGGGGAACAGGGTCCCATCCAGCAACTTAACGCTCTCCAGTGGCATTAGGTGGCCTCTGATGCTGACGTGGGACATGTGGGTTGGTCTGTTCCTTCCAGCAGGGCACAACCCTGGAGCACTTCCTCGAGTCAGCACTTAATGCTTGGGTAACACCAGCCACTTAGTTTCTTCCCATGCTCAACAATTATTTCCTTCTAGCAGAATTTTCAAAAGCCTTTCTTTATATTACAATTCTTTCATTGCTTTGTAAGAGGTTACGTCACATCACAAGACCAGAAAGCACAGTGCTGCTTAGTGTGATTTGACCCTGATGTGGCATTTCTTTGCGATGTGTCATGTCAGAAATGTAAAGAAAACAACGTTGTCCTATTCCTACTAGTTTGGACGGCAGTGGCGACTGCAGGTTGCCTTACCTTCTGCCTGAACTATGTGCCATTTATGAGACTAATGAGGATTCTGTACTGCAAGTAGGAATAATCGCGTTTATGAAACTACATGCTTTCTGGAGAGCTGCATGTGAGCTTAACAGAAAGTGGGCTCTGAGTGAGCACTGCTGGGGTGGTTGCAGAGGAGCGGGCAAGAAAGGCAATAGCATTTACAGTTGCTGCTACTTGAGAATGAAGAGTGATAAGAAAAAATAGGATAAAGTACTCTCATCATTTCTGTAAATTTTCTTTATGGGCCTAGGGAATTTCAACTCCTTTTAAATATGCATTTTCCAAAAGGGATTTAAGAGAGCCAGGAAAGGCTGAAATTACCCTTAAAAAATTTGAAGATTAGGAAATTCTGGAGCATCCTAGACCTAGTATCAAAGTTCCTCCTTTTGCTGAGCCTAAGCAAGAGCAGACAAACAGGATCTGTTATAGTCTGGGCCTGATCATGGTAAAAGGAGTCACATCTGTATTAGTTTTTTTGTGTGTACACAGGAAATTATAATCCTATCCCATTGCACAGTGTGCTGACCTATTGTTGCTTACTGTGAGGAATCTGTCTCTTACATTCTTATAGCTACAGCCTATTTGCATTGAAATATTACACTCTCAAAAGCCTTGCTGCTCTCCATGAAAGGATCAAGTATTTCTAGTTTTTAAAGGAAGACTTATCACTTTATCACCTTGGGGATGATGAGCATGAAGCCCTGATTTAAGAGGCTTGTATGATAGTTGGAATTGAGGATGTTTTGCAGATAAAGCATTCTAGGGGGCCTCCAGTCCTCAATTTCCAGTCCTGCTACTAACCTGTTGAGTGACCTTGAGCAACTCACTTCACATTGCTGCAGCTCTGTTTTTCCTTTGATCTTTTTGTTTGTTTGTTTAACTTGCAATATGCTGGAAGCCTTTCTATAGCACTCTGTGCAATGAGGCCTGATCTCATCTTGGTTATTAGGTGTTCATACATTAAAAACAGTAAAAATAGTTTAAAGCAGATTATTAACCCTTTTTCAAGTCACTCCATTTTAGCACACACTGGCGCCTTACTGAAGCATGTGGCTGTTTTTCTTGAAATCTTCTAGCAGCACATCAGTCATTCTGGGTTTCTGCTAATAGAAAAGCCTTAGGTTAGCCACATCCATCATAAAACTATGATGCAATAGTATATACATTTACAGTTTGAAGTCATAGGCAGTTGGATCAGCACAACCAAGATACTAGTAAGTCAGTGGCAGAAAAAAGTAGCTGGCACAGGAGAAAGCAATAATTTCTGTGGAGGAGCTCGCAGGGAAAATACCTAACCATGTATATAGCATAGCTATACTATGTGGATCTTTAAAGGTGAGGCAAGGTGGAATAGGATGAGCTAGGGGAACAACGACATAGTCCATTAAATTAATATTTTGAAAGCTGTACAAAAGGGGAAATTTTTTTCCACACTTCCTTTCTCTGCAGGGAAGAAATATTCCTAAAATATATATCCGATGTATCGGGTTAGCAGTTCTTCAGCTAGGAGGTCTCATGCTTTTGTGGAAGAGATCGTGCTCTGTATCACCGACTTATCACCCATACTTTCTCAGGAAGTTCAGGTGAGTAAGTGTACCTGAGTGAGTCACATACCAGCTTACAATGCTATTATTAATTGAAATGGGAGTACGATCATACAGGTATTTCTATGAGTCCTAACATACTGCCCTCTCTGTAACTCTTGGAATAAGTAAATTATACCTTATAAACTATTTATATAAGCTATTATACCTATTATTTTAACATTGAATGATCTTAACATTCGGGTTTTTTTCTACATCAGAATATTTAACATTAAAAATCGAACTGTCTACTCAGGTGCTTGTGATGATGGCCATAGATCGACATGTCTAAATTCTGCTAAGGAGAGATGCACTGGTTGTGTATTACTCAGGGCTACCTGGTCATAGAAACTCCTAAGTTGCCATTTTAGCCCACAGAGTTCCCAGGATGTCTAAATATAGATTTGCTCTCATGGTCAGAGATGTCCCGTTCTGAGCTGGCAGTCACATAAGTACTCCCCCACCCCCCCTGCCAGAGCTGCCCCGCTCCCCAGAGAGCAGAGCAGTTTGGTGCAGGGAACTGAGACAGCCTGCATGGTACTTGGTATGGATCTCCTAGACTGCCTGAAGTGGAGTCTACTGAAAAGCAGCAAACATTTTTCGTGATTCTGGCTTTCAGTTTCCAAGCTGTAAGGAAATCCTTTTTGTGAGAATATGTGCTATAAAGCCCTATGATCTATTTTAGCTGGATTACCAGAGGCAGCTTTTTAGAAACTGTGCTGCCAACCGTGAAAATCCTTCTCAAGTTACATCAAGGATATCAACAGTGTATGAATGTGCACCATTAGGTTAGGATCATTAAAAATAATAAGTAAACAAACAAAGTTATGTTATTCTTAGTAGGCTTAGAATATCTTTCAATTGGTAAATATAGGCCGTTATGTCATTTACAAATATTCAACAGTGATTTTTTAGGAAATCTGCCCTCCAGTTAGAAATAAAATGCCTTTTCTGTATTTTTTTAAATGTTTAAAAAAAGATGACAAGTGAAAACTGGCTGAAGAACTCCAGGCTGTGCCCTTTTCTGCACAGCTTGAACTCTGCCTATATTTATCTGAAGCAGATGTTCCAGGCAGGATGCACACTGCAGCCAGAGGTGAGGACGGAGGTGTACAGGACTTGAATACATTTCAGTACAGCTCCCACATCCTGTTTACACACAGCCACTGGCCTGAGAACAGCACAGGGGAAAAAAAAGGAAGGTGGAGGGGGTGTGATAGGAAGGAGTCATTGATTGGAGTCGTGATACTAACACCACTGCTAGGCGTGCATGTTGAGAGTGCTCTGGAGTTGTGGTTCTCTCCGCATCTGCCATTGCCAGCAACATTTTCCCCACTGCTTCGGCAGGCCTTGATAGGCATGCCGTCTTCTCTCACAAGGGAGGGAGAAGGAAGAGAGGGAGCAATTCATTGGAAAAAAAAAAAGACAGCTCACCTGCAGAGAGACTATATTTTCTCTTCTATTCGGTATTGCTACACAGAATCAAGAAGAAACAGAGCTGGAATTCACTGAACCAACTTTTCTGTCTCATTAAAATTATGGACTGATTTTTAATATCAGAAAGGCATTTACTGAATCAGTGGTGGGCAATGAGAAATATTAATAATGCTAAGCCCAATTTAAGCAGTTATTCTGTGGGAAGATGGATTTTTTTTCATGCAAGATACTTAATGGCAATTTGATTTCTGCACACACAGAGCAGTGAAAGGCCCACTTTTCTGTGCACTGGACATGATTTTCACTTCATGCCTCATTCCCATCTTACTAAACCACATTATCCACATGTGTTCCTGTTTAATGCTAAGGAGATAAGGAAGACACGTATATATACTTTCTATCTCTCTCTTTTTTTTTTTTTTTTTTAACATTTAAACAAAATCACTAAGGAACCAGATTTTCCTTGTCAAAGATTCATAAAGCTGCTGATGGCAAAATTCCCAAGAGGCAGAAATGGAAGAAGCAGTTTTTCAATCTCTCTTTTTTTTTTTTTTTTTTTTAACATTTAAACAAAATCACTAAGGAACCAGATTTTCCTTGTCAAAGATTCATAAAGCTGCTGATGGCAAAATTCCCAAGAGGCAGAAATGGAAGAAGCAGTTTTTCAAGGTTGTTTTTCACAAAGTTCAAAACATGGGCTGGGAACACTATGTATCTGTTTGGCGTCTCTGTAATATTATATTCTGCAGAGACTGGCTACTGGCTTCACAACTACATGGTCATGCACACATACAACATAGAGTAGTTTGAAGGACGTGTATTTTCTTGTGCTCAAGCGGTATGAACTTATCAACACTGACCCATGTCTCATCAGCTTATATTCTAATATGCTTAAGAGGCAGAATGTATGCGAGACAGGTTTAATATCAGAAATAATTAACTAATTTATTTTACTAGGACAATATAAAAAACATTTTAAAAGTCTAGGAATTTATATTATTATGGGTTATTATAATCTATTTACTTTATCTCATACTAATTAGCATGTAAAAATGCTAAAGTCACAGCATAAAACTTTCTACTCCTTCAGCTCAGGCCACATTAACTGTTTTTTTGTTGTGATTTTTTGTTGGTGTTGTGATTTATTTTTATGATTTTTTTTGTTGTTGTTGTGATTTTTTTATTTTCAAAAGGAAAGGAACCATCTTCATGGTCATGCTCTCTTTTCTATGCATCAAGTTCCAGTAGGAGACAGAAACTTCTAAAGTATGTGCTGAGATAACCTACATTTGTCCAAATGCCTTGCTTTTCTTTCCCTTATTGTATTTGGATTATTTTGTTATCCAGGAAAATTCCAGGTATTAGGGTTTGATTTTCTTATTTCAAATCATCTGAAAGACCAGAAATCTGGGATCAAATTGGAAGATAGAAGGAAAATTTAAATTCTACTTTATTCTCAAGCCTTTCTTCTAAGCTTCAATCTATTTAGCACTTGAAACTCAATCTTCAGATATATGGCACAGCAGTCAATCTCTTCATTGCTTCCCATTTATTTTTGTATAAGACAGCCTACCAGTAGTCTTTTTCCCTGAAAAGACTATTAAAAAAAGATGAATTAAGACCTTACTGTATTATTACTGGTAATCCCGGTTCACATTTACATAGCTTTGTAATTACAATGTTTGTTAAAAGCTTGATGGTAAAGGCACCACATTGGTGCTAAAAGGAATCCATCTTAGGGCCAGGTAGAGGCTGCCTGAAACGAATTTAATTTTGTGTTACAAAAAGTTTTAGAACAAGGTGAAGTGCTGTAACTGGAAATACAGACAGTATTTGGGGGAAAAGGCTATTTTATATTTCCCAATATTTTCTATTTCTGTATCTCTTATAGTATTTCATTGAAGAATTTCGAATTTCTTCTACCAGTTTTATGGTGGGGTCCTCTGCCTTCTGGCATAAAAACTCAGTGTTAAAAGTTAATGAAAACTAAAAAGTCATCAAAGAAAAAATGTTTCTGGAGTTACTAATAGACAAAGTGCAATATACTATTTTCTGACTTAAGCCTTTGGCCTTCAATCAGGGGGTATACTTTGCTGCTCTATGGATTACTATTGCCACTTGGAAATAGTCCCAGGATGGTCCTTAAGACAAAGACTTTATGAATCATAGAGTCATAGAATGCTTTAAGTTGGAAGGGACCTTGAAGATCATTGAGTTCCAACCCCCCTGCCATGGGCAGGGACACCTCCCACTAGGCCAGGTTGCTCAAAGCCCCATCCAGCCTGGCCTTGAACACTTCAAGGGATGGGGCATCCACAACTTCTCTGGGCAACCTCTTCTAGTGTATCATGCCCTCACACTAAAGAATTTTTTCCTGATACCTAATCTAAATCTCCCGTCTTTCAGTTTAAAACCATTACCCCTCATCCTATTGCTACACTCCCTGATAAAGAGTCCCTCCCTATCTCTCTCGTAGGTCCCGTTTAGGTATTGGAAGGCTGTTAAAAGGTCCCCCCGAAGCCTTCTCTTCTCCAGGCTGAACAACCCCAACTCTCAGCCTGTCCTCGTAGGAGAGGTGGTCCAGCCCTCTCATCATCTTTGTGGCCCTCTGCTGGACTTGTTCCAACAGGCCAATGTCCTTTCTGTGCTGAGGACTCCAAAGCTGTACACAGTACTCCAGGTGGGGTCTCATGAGTGCAGAGTAGAGGGGCAGAATCACCTTCCTGGACCTGCTGGCTGCACTTCTTTTGATGCAGCCCAGGATGCCTATTATTGTTACCTATTTTATGCTTATCTATTATACTGTAATCACACACAATGGTGAGGAATGGTACCTGACTGTGCTGACACCTATTAGATATGTGAGATGACACACTTTTTGTTCCAAGAACCCTGTTGTTCCATGGTTGCCCATGGAATGGGCACTGAAAAGTTTCAGTAATCACCCTATCTTGATAATTTAGAGAAAGCTTTTTGATTCTAAGTAAATTCCTTTGGTTTTGCATTATAGGAAAGAACCTACATTTTCATATATATCTGAGGATATCTTTTTCCTTTTTGTATTATTTATCTTGCTTCACCTGAGCAACATCTAAACAATTTCCTGTCCTTAGTTTTATATCCAAGCCCATGCCTGACCTGCCACCATTTCTCTGTTCTCTCAAATTTTTCTTACGTCCCTTATTACTGATAAATCAGTAAGCAGCTACAGTATTTTCTTGTAAGCTTCTTTCTTTTTGTGACTCAGTATTATTTTTTAAAATATATATATATACTCACTTTCAGTCCCTTGATCATGATCAAGTTCTCCTTTGTCATTGAAGAGAACTCCAGGGCTTCATGTCTGAAGTCTTCCATTCTCATACAAAATGAAAATTGTGAAAGGGATGAAGGAACGTCATACTGCTAGTTATGCAAAAGGATGATGAAATCTTGAAGGAGTCAAACCTTGAGCTGAAGACAGTTTTGTCTGCTTGTCTGCAGGGTCTGACTGGGCTGTGCTTTTGGCCAGAAGACAGCGTATGTTCACATGGAGAAGAGGTGGATCTGAATGTCTATGGTAACCTAATCTATCTGAACCAGCTTGATCAGTAGCCTGGCTTAAGCACAGGATAAATTGTGTGAAATAGCTTAAATTTATATTTAATGAATAACAATAAGTACTTCAGATTCCAGAATTTTTGAATACCTTTTTTTTTTTTTTTTTTTTTTTTTTAAAATTAAACCTTTGGGTTTTTTTTAAAAAGAGGGTTTTTTTTTTTTCCCTTTCCAATTGGTAAAATCAAAAGCAATTGATGGACAATTAGAGAGAATAATAATATTTTTACCAAACGGAAATATATCCATGAATGTTTCATGGATAAATACTTGCTAATTATTAACTCTCATATAGCAATATAAACTTGTTCAGAGTGAGATTCCTCTGTATCTGATAACACTACTGAGGTGGAATATAAACATTTCAGTAGTCCAAATGCCCACAAAGGCAGCAGAAAAGCAGAGGCAACTGACCCCCTGTCTCGCACCCATTTCCTGGGTAGGCTGAGGGATTCTTTTGCTCTTTCTTCAGTAGCTGAGATGATGAAACTGAACAGGGATAGCTATCAGTTTGGTGGAGGATTGGTTACAAATTATGTAGAAAACACTAAAAGCATTTGGCATTCATACCAGTCTGCAGTAATACTGAATACTGTTCATTCTCATGAAAGGGATAAATGCTTCAATAATGCTTAATGTTCAGTTTGCAGTCATTATTCTGGAATGGGAATAACTCAGAAATACAATTATGAATCTACCATGTCTGATGACAGTTTTAATTCCCTTAAGAGCAAACTTGGCCACTGTGAGAATTTCTTATTCTTACTGCACTTTTTCAGCAATGATATCTATAGACATTGCATTTGACTCAGTTTAACTTATGAGCAATACATTATTCATATTGCTCACACCCTCTGCTTGGGAACTTTACTTGTAGACTTAATTTCATGGTTAGTGACTTCATTGTGAGAACAGTAAGGACAGATAGACAAAAGACAGAATAATTTCAGTTTACTTAGCCTTGAAGGTCATTGTAAAATTTAAAGCAAGGAAAGTTAGCAAATCCAGTGCAGCAAATAGAAGATTACAAGCCATATTGCTGCCTGCAAAGTTTTTGTGTTTTTGATCATCTTTGATTTTATTGCAGAAAAGACAGGTTATACTCTCAAGCTAAAAAAGGCTGCTGTTATGTTATTAATTCTGATGACTGCCCAATATTTGCACTTTATGAAACCAGAAGGACCTAAAAATATCACGTATTAGTACCCCATTTTCTGCCATTTCAATTCCAATCCTCTGTCCCAAGTGCAGAATAACTAAATTTAGCTGGTCATCATTAATGACTTTTAATGACACTTTTGATCTGTCAGGAGCTGACTTCTCTTCTTGCCTAATAAGACAAGCACATACTTTGAAATATTTTAAGGTAAAACTGTTAACATAGCAAATTATACTTACTAGGCCAAGTTGCAACCAAAGCTATCATTCGCCAACTGAAACCAACTGCAGATGTCTGTGAAAGAAGTACATGTATAAAGCATTACATAATGTACATTGCACATAATGTACATGTATAAAGCAGTACATAATGCAGCATTAAATGTAAAGCTAATGATATTGACCAAACAGTTACATACACAATAACATTTTAGATATTTATTTTAGTAGATTCTTTTTCGAAAACTACAATAATTACAATGCATTAGGGACTATGCTTTTTTAACAATACTGATTTTAGTAATATTTTAACACATGGAAAAAAATGTCATAGCTAATGGCATTGGATTACTTAGCTTCTTAATTAGCAAAAAAAAGCTGTCAGTGGCCTTTGCAGAGTTTGCAAGGTAGGAAACAAGAAAATAACAGAAAACTTCTGCAGTGAAAAACTAAAGTATCATGAACAGGTCTGCTTTATGTTTAGAATTTAAAAGAGATTACTCCATGTCACATCAACCAAACTGCCTAGCAAGGGAATTTATTTTAGGGAGCGTGGAGATTATTATTATTCAGAAAACATCTGCTAATTGGGGAATAGTACACAGAGGTATCAGCCTCCTTGTGTTTTGCAGAGCAGTTTTGCATTTTCTGTCCTCAGCATGTTCCACAGTATCTGTACATTCAGAGGCTACTCAGCCACATTAGCCTTTGACATAAAACTAAATTTGTCTTCAGAAGCTGTTCATTTGCACACGCAACTATCTAAAGCTGTAACATCCATACCTATGTATCTGTAGCATCTAACCTGTCTATCTTAGCTTTCCTTTAGCCACCTTGCTTAGCTTTGCTGATGAGCTGACTCATTAGGGTGGTATCAGGGTGATGTGTACAAGACAGACCTTAAGAGTGATGAAACAGGGAAAAAGGAGTCCCATCTCCAGGGTGTGTACACAAATGCCCACAGCCAGGGAAAAAGGCAGGAGGAACTAGAGCTCTGCTTGTGGTCACCAAATTACACCATCACTGGGATAACTGGTGGGACAGCTCACATGGCTGAAAGGTTGTGATGGATGGATACACAGTATTCAGTACATGGAGACAGGGAAGACAATGGGGGTGTCACCCTTTAAGTGAAGTAGGAACTTGGATGTATGGAGCTCCTCTGTGAGATGGAGGACCATCTGGTTGAGAGCTTATAGGTCAGGGTCAAAGGAGAGGCTGCAAAGGTGATGCTGTGGTGGAATTGTGTTACAAACTACCTCCTTAGGATAAGGAAGTAGATGAAGCCTTGTTTAAACAACTCAGGAAGACTCTGATTCTTATGGGGCCCTTTGCTTTCCCTGTTTTCTGCCGGAAGGGCAACAAGGCAGGACATAAGCAGGTGCAGGTACTAGATAAACTAATGAGCGATGACACACAGCTGCAGCTGCTGTTCGCTAACAAGGCAGAGCTGGATGGTGTAATAATCAATTATAGCCTTGGCTGTAGTGACCATGAAATAGGAGCCCAAGATCCATAGGAAGGAGAGTAGCAGGTTATAAACACTGAACTTCAGGAGATCAGATTTAAGCTTGTTTTGGAAACTGGTAGATGCGATCACATGGGAAGGAGCTTCAAAGAGCAAAGGAACTCAGAAAAGTTTGAAGATCCTTAATGGCACTATCCTCCAAGTACAAGAATGGTACATCCCAATACACAGGAAGGCAAATAGATGTATCACGAGACGAGCCTCTCTAAGCAGAACACTCATGAAAGAGCTCCAGTGCAAAAAGGAGCCAAAGCACAAATGGAGATGTCAAAGGGATGCCAAAGGGAAACAGAGTAGCCTTTACCACTGCATTAGTAGTAAAAGACTGAAAAAGGAAAATGTGGTCTTGATAATTGAATGACTAATGGGTAAAAAATTAATCAGGCTTTGAAGGAAGTGGATAATAGACCTATCCTGTCCAGAGGCTGATGACAAGTACAGCAGGGGTCTGTTCTGGACCGGACCTGTTTCACATCTTTATCAAGGGTTTACCACAGATGATGGAGTACATGCTTACTGAATTTGCAAATGACATTGAATTGAGAGGACCAGTCAAAGTCTATGGCAGAGCTACCATCCAAAGAGACCTGCTGACAGGAACCTTCTGAAACTCAGCAAAGACAAATGCCAAGTCCTGCATGTGGAAAAAAGAACTCCTGCAGCAATGCATTCTAGGGACTGACTCGCTGAGGAACATCTCTGCAGGAGAGGACTTGCAGGTTTTGGTAGCAAGGTGGACATGAGTTAGTAGTGTGCCCTGGAAGCAAAGGAGACCAATAACATTCGGGGCTGTATCACTAAGAACACAGACAGTAGATCAAGTGAAAGAAGTCCTTTACTTGGCACTCATAGGAACATATCTAAATACTAAGTGCAGTTTTGGGCCCCCCAAGTTGCAGTCTCTGTCCTTGGAGGTGTTGAAGAGCTGTCTGAAAAAAGCCCTGAATAACCTGATCTGACCTCAAAACTGAGCCTACTTTCAGAAGGAGGTTGTACTAGAGACCTCCTGAGGTCCCTTCCAACTTTAATTATCCTCTAGTCCTATGATTAGGAGGAACAGAAAGACAAGGCTTGGAAAGAAAAAGAAGAGAGTTCAGATCCAGAAGAAATCCACCCTCATTTCATGATTCTTCCTCCTAATTTCTGCACCCTAAAAGGAGAAGTGCAGAAGTGACTTCTGCGGGTAGGTCACAACACGATCTCCTTACAAAATAGCTGCCAAATTGAAACATCACAATACTGAGGAGATCCCTGGAGGACAGGGAAATTCAGGCACAATCCCTACACTAGCAAAAGGCACATGGAGAGAAGTAAAAGCCAGTGACAGCTTTTCACCCCAGGAAATGCAAATAGTCATTAGGAAAGTATTTCTTCCTTAGACATTTGCATATTAGCACCTTGATGACACCAAATCTGTCTTTCTTAAAAAGAAAATTCAAAAGATTCCAAAAAGCAATTTATTTTTAACATACTATTTTATTTTGATTTAGGCTATCCCTGGGACTATACTAATAGGTTTTCCTTAATTTGTCTCTCGGTTTTGCAGAATGACTAACATGAACCCAGAGGCATCTAGCATAATTGTACCAAATATAGCCTACTGATGGGATGGGAGAAGGATATGCAGCATGTTTCTATATCTCAGACTTTTTGGACGCAGAGTTTCAGATTTATTTAGCCCTCGAAAATAAACAGAGAGAGGAATGAGTAAGTGGAATCTCAAATTTTTACAGAGGTAAATGCTCTCTCATATTAGCAGCTTTGCTGCTACCTCAGCCATGTATCAGAGGATATACTATGTCCTTGTTTGAAAAAAAATCGACAGTCTAGGTTCAATGACATAAAATAGAATAGATGAAAAGAGTAGCAGAAGGTAATGCTTGGTCAGCCGTGTGATGTTATGAACAATACTGTTCCTTGTAAGCCAGCTGGGTATTTACAGCAGTTTCCCCTGTGAGAAGGGCTATTGGTAAATGCTACTAATAAAAACTTACATAACAGTAACAATATCTTTCATTTTTAATAGTGTCTTCGATCCTAAAGGGGTAGCCAGTTTACTGCATATTTTCCAATGAAAAAGGGCATTCATGTTTTATGTCTTCATCCTATTCATCCTGCTTACTGGCTCTTTAAGGAGAAGGAATAAACCTGTAGCTCAGGAAAACCTAAGACTACTTTGCATTTCTATATTACCTCTTCATTGCAGAGTCCCTGCAGACGCTCCACACAGAGCGCTGTAGGGTGACAGTTTATCTCCAGTCATTGATATGATATGACATGGTATTATGCCTCCTAATGTTTGTATTATGTTTGATCCTTTTATATTAAGATCTCCAGACAAGTCATCACACTCCATTGTGCTAGATGCTGTGCAGAGATTTATCAGAAAAAGCAGCCCACAGCCCAGAGAGCCTGCAGTCTAAACCAGACATGGCACTTGAAAAAGTAGACATTTGATCCAGTGAGGGCCTCAAACAAAGAAATAAACTTTAAACAACTTACCAAATTCATACAGGAAGTCTGTGGAAGAATACAGAACAAATAATCTCTGAGCTCAGTTCTGCTTTCACAGAGGATAAATTTGGAAAAGTTCAATTCTGTACTTAGGTCATGAACCAACAAAAAGTAAAGCATTGGGCTAGACTTCCTGAATGTTAGGATCATCCAAGGTTTATAAATGCTTAGCTTTAGACCAGAATATTCTAGACTATAGCAATACATTTACTAAAATAACTTGAGGAATCAGAAGATTTTTGCCTTGAATCTTTCTCTAGATAGTGGTTTCTTGTCAGGCTGATGTCTACCTAGTAAATATATTATTTTTATAGGAGTAGCTTTTTGAAGCAAGCACAATTCTTTACCTTTTTTAGATTCTTCAGCAAGATTTTAGCCTTCTCTATTGCACTGCAAGCCTTACTGCAGCCCTTACAGAGAGGAGGAGTTCCCTATGCCTATGAAAACGTCTCAGCTGCCTCTTCTGTACTGCCAGGGAGATGTGGTAAGTCACAGAGGGAGTGAAACAGTGACAGCCCTTGAGACCTTCACTGCACCCCTTGTCCAAAAGTGATACTGCTTGAGTCTGGGGTTTAGTTTCTTGGTTTCAGCACCATGAAAGATTCAAACACTATGGCACGCTTCTGTTAGTAAGGAGACCATAATAAAAGCGCATTAAAATGGTTTAACTCTGCCCAGTGGTGATTCTGCCAAATGAGTAACAGCTTGAAGAAGTTCAGGAGGAGGTTCTAAAACAAGATTGATTTTTCAAATATGATGTGTATTTAGTAATAAATGGCCTGATTCTCTTGATTAGGGCTTTTGGGGCCCTCAAGGGAGCAGGAGTTTCTTGCTTTTGGGCTGATATGACAGTAGAATTAGACTCATGAGGTGTCTCAATTGCTATGGTCCATGTAGATATTTAGATCAGACAGAAATTACTAGAGCAGATGCCACTCCAATAAGACTCACTTCTCTAAACCATAACACCGCTGCTGTAGAAGGGCGCTGTGCTGAGCCAACGCCACTATTTTTGGTAATTCTCCATGCAAAGAAAAGCCCCCAAGTTTTCTCTTGAAAGCAGCCTTATGACCCTTGCAGCCTGAAGAAAGGCAGAGGATACATACCACAGGCTAGGGTCAGATCCCTATATAAATTAAATGTCCAGCAGTTTGAATGCTTACTCAGATCTTGTCGACAATACCTCAGCTTCCTGACCTTAAAAATCATTTAGGTAAACTTAAACTTCCAGCAGCATTCCAGTGTTGGACTGGAAGAGGAATATGAAAAAAGAAGAGATTTAAATGGAATGTTTTAATCGATTTCAAATATTAATGAGTTCTGATACTGAATTTCAACATAACTATTAATATTAGCTCAAAACTCTTCCCAATGGTGCAGGTAAATGTGATATACCTTTCATCTATGTTCAGAAAAATAAATTTTTATTTGCCATCATTTTTTTCTATTATATTTGGAATTATGTTATTTTGGAATACCAAGTTATGCCGCCTTAAATATTCATGAGAAATATGTGTTTGTGTGGCTATATATAGAGAGATACTGTAGTGGACTTTCTTTTAGATCAGACTTACTACTTGTTGAATCCAAAAGAAAACAAGTCTTAAGAAGCTTTTGAATTCTTCGAAAGTGGAGGGATTTATAAATCCACAGCTGGAACAAAATGAATTGCAAACCTTAAAAGACAGATTATGTTTCCAAAACATAAGGACAAGTATGACCTTACTGTAAAACTATGTGTTTTAGCCTACGGGTAAAAGTGGTACATGAGGGGATTATTTATGTTTAGGTGTGTAAATAAATAGTAAGCCTTTGGACACACTTCTCATATTTCCAGTGGAGCCTGCCAGCAGTCTTTCATTTCTGTTATGGCTTCAGGACATTAAGACCACAGGAACATAGCTAAATTAGATGTTGCAAATGCACAAGTATCTGTGGCACCTCTCACCTTCACATCTAAGGGGCCTGATTCAGTTGAACATGTGCTGACTTAAATATAGTGACACTCTGTTACGCTGCTCCCAGACTAAACCATTGCTCTGTGTAAAGGTAGCAGAACTGGGTCCTTGGAATTGTATCTATCTGATTTTGAGAGAAGTTATAACTATACTGAGCATGACAGTAGATTGGCAATAATTCTAGGGAAATTGACTGCATTTGTACAAATCCTTTGCTTTGTTTTATTTGGCTGTAGAAGGTCATGCCCTGATACCCTTAGTAGATTTTGTAGAGGCAAAATTCTGAAATAGTTGAAGGTGAGCTGTAAAGACAATCAATTATCAGAAAGTCATATTCTTTTAACATTTAACTTATCCAAATCCCTGCTCTTTCTGAAGTATTGTTCCATTTCTCTTACCATTCTATGATTCTAACAACAAAAAATGTCACATTATTATAGTATTATATCCTCTGAAATGACCATAACTAATCATAGGCCATTGTTGTTTTAGTGTCTTCTGTGATTAATATTTTTTTACATATGAACAAAATAAACACAAGGTCCCTGCATGACTGAAAGTGCCTGCTCTGGAGCATCAACCCTGTACTATATCCTGCACAGTACTCTGTTTAGTCCAGGTTTAGGCAGAGTGCTATAGAAATTCCACCTTAATCTTCTATGAAGTTAGATGTGATAACATACAAGCACTTGAATGCTTCAGTATCCCTCCTTTTTTTCATAATACCCCACTAACTCATCCAGCAATTAAGAGTTTTGTGCTTTCTTCAAGCAAGGAATGCTTGAACCCATATATTTCAGATGTTAGTGAAGTGCTCAAGCCATGAGGTATTCTGGTTAACTTGTTCTCCACCCTTTCTCTTGAAGTACAGCCAGAAATGCTAGCAACATGGGCCAGAAGGAGTACAGCCAAGAAGAAACCTGACTCTAGCTTAAAGTTCTGACATTTGGTTAGAAAGGGGAAAAAACCCAGGGATGCTAGACACTCTTCCCCTGTATGCATACTATGTAACTGTTAAAAGAGTGTTGGGAGCAGAGTTAAGAGACATAAACTCTATTATTATTATTATTAAGCACCTACCTGAGAAGATGGTTAAATATTTTCTCTCTTTTTCTGCTTGTAGTAGCCCAGAAAAATACAGTTTCAATGAATCTTCATTTGTGCTTTCTCAAGTCTATGGGTAAAATCATTGCAGCATTCATTGCTTTCCTCTTTTCCTTTTAATTAGCACTTGATTCCTGTTAAGGGCTTTTGAACACGTTCCATGCGCCTGATTGCCAAGCAGATCACCACCTCATAGTTATTGCATGTTTGGAAGGCAATTTTCTTGGGCCATTTGTTAAGGAAATGCAAGAACACTCATGTTTCACTCTGCAAATATCAAATATGATGCAACACCGAAGGTTAAAATGAGAGGCAGAAGAAACAATTGAGTAAGAATTTTAGAATATAGTTATCAGAATGCTCATAGGTACTCACTGGGATCTAAGTCCTGCACAGTGTTCAAACACATGATTAAATACAATCTTTACCCTGAAAGAAAGACATCCTAATTAAACATGGAAGATTAAAAATTAATTAGGAAATCAAGGTATGGAAGAGCAAGATGACTTGTCTCAGATAAAAAAAAAACAGAAACAGAGCCAGCAAGACACTCCTGCGTCTGGCACCCAGCTCAGTGCCCAGCATGCCACACATATCGTATTTCCTTACCTGGATACGTTTTTGTGCTTGAGATACATAAATTCCTGAAACCTCTGCTTAGACAGTCTACCCTTTCATGCAATTAATTAAAGCTATTAATGTTGTGCCTTGAGAACAGTGCTTCATAGTGCCCCTGGTTCCATTGATGTGCCTTTTCCACCAAGAAACACAGGCTTTATTTGACCTAAAATGAAGTTTGAGAGCTTAACCATAGAAAACGATAAAAATTTCTACTTACGGGAGAATGTTGAGTGGCCTGATGGTAAACAAAATAACTGGTCATTTCAATTTCTAAACAGCTGCTTAGAATAGTCTTTCATACAGACTTTTAGAATATAGATATAGACTGTATACATAAACATACATACATATAGATGTATGTATATAAATAGTTGTGTGTATATATTATACAGATCTGTATATATACATGGGCAAATTCTGCTGTTCACAACTGAACAATATTCCCACTGAATAGCACAGAATTTGGCTCAGTTTGAGAATACCATTCTGTATGGAAAAATTTAAATCCTGTCTGAAGTGCAGAATATCTTCTTGGACCTCCTTCAGCTTTACCATATATGCAATTAATAATTCAAGATTCAGAAAATAGAAACAAAGAAGAGGAAGCTCACCAAACATGGTTTTGCTTGAGAAACACAGAAAATTCTCCCTAAGATATTAGTTACATTGAAAGATGATGGAAATTCTTGACCTTTCAGCAGTCAGGATTATGGTTAGACTATACTGTATATGATACGGTCTCTTAGTGGGGCATCTTTTTAAGGGTCAACTGCTCAAAGAAAAGGTTAATGTTTACTGGCATGTACAAAATGGGCCCTGCAAAACTTCAGCCAACTGGAAACCCTTGTCAGTTGGAAGTCTAATTAGATTAATTCAGCTTAATTATGTATAGTATTTAATTACAGTTAAACAGAGGCTAACTAATATACTTTAAATATCCTGTTATCAAAATTATTCTCAGCCTACAGTAGTCTGTCACATGTACCTGATTGAATATTGCTCAGTTTCCATAGAATGTATTAATATTTCTACATTATGCTAAAATTGCCTTGCCTAGCATGTGAAATATGATGTGTCAACTGTTTACTTCAGTTTTTGAGCCAAAGTGAATAGTTGCTATAGTAATTGTTACATCACAGATTATTTGGCATACTCTAATGATTCAGAACAAAAATAGTTGAGGTTTTAAGCTTTTTTGTCACCTGTGTTGTAAAGGCAGGGAGGACATACTCCTGAAAATATGAGAACTACAGCTTTCCTGCTGACGCATGGTTTGAAACCCAATTTTGGAATGACAGACAGAAGATTTTCTGTACTATTTTCAAACTGATCTGAGAAAAAAAGTCACATGGAAAGAAGGAATCAAATGCATATAATTAAGTTTTCTAACCTGTTCATTACAGCTGTGTGAAAATGTAGTTCTTCTCCGTTCAACAGCGGCTGTATAGGCTCTTCCTAGAACATTGCTACATTATAGGCAGATGATTTTGGAGTGGCCTGATGCAAACAAAACTTATAGCAACCTTTTAATTTGCTCTGTGTTGAGCCACACACCTTTCACTGGTGTCATTTTTATTTCTAGCTTAGATAGGGCTTACTGGGAAAACTATTGTGTTTTGCCACTGGTAGTTCAGGGCCAGAGAGGGGAATCTTCACCAATCACTTGTGAATAAATTAACTGCTGTGTTCAGTATCAAATCAGAGAGGGATCTGGATCATAACTTAATATATAATACTGGACTCCCATCAGAAGCTTCCTCACCTTTGTCTTCACTTTTCCCATGGACCTTAACAACCGAGTTTTAGTGGTAGAAACCTGGCATTAATGAATTCACAACTATTCACAAAAGAAGCTCTTTTCCTGCGTAGGGAAGGACAACGCTTGACAGAGCTCTCTGTCAAGCGTTTCCAAGGATTTTGTCACAAGCGGAGGCCAATGAGCCAAATGCAGCTCTGACCTGTGCTTCTGAGATATACTTCAGATCACTGGGAAGTGAAGGGACACTGTAGGGAAAAACGTGATTTTGCAGTTATCACAGAAGATAGTTGTACTGGTTCAATCCAAGCTGTCAAAAAACATGCGTCTTCAATTATTTTTATTTCTATGCTACATTCAATTGCCTAAATCATATATTTCATGTTATGTATGCATGGAGGGAGAAAGCTTTTTCCATTTTCCATTATTTCCATTTAAAATTAAATTAAAATTTACTTGTTTTCTGGAAACATGCATGATAATATAAATAAAATGCAGCAGAACAGAGTGCGAGAAGTGAAAGTATTGAATTCTCATGAATAGATGAAACTCCTTGTTTCCCCCCCCTCCAGTTCTTCTTTGATTGATTCATTTCTGTTCCTTGGAAAATTTCATATGACCTGATGATGAATCTGATCAATGTATTCAGGTCACAGGAAGTAACAGAGAGAAAAAGACTGAAAGTGATTTCTTGACTAAAAGAGCTATTTCTCTACCACCCCTCCCCAGATATGTTGCCTTCAGCCCACCCTAGTTCAATTAGGAATAGTAGTAGGAATGTCTCAAATTACTGCAACTGCTGCATCAAAAGGAGAGGAAGATGGTGTAAAAGTACATACCCCTGACCTATGTGGGACTGACTTACCCAAAATAACTCAATTACTTGTTATAAAAATAACTGTTACCTATAACTGTTACCTATACTGCTATATAGTGGTGATAGCTCTGTTGGAAATGGCATTTATAAAGCACCTTTGACCACTTCACCTGAACTCAGATCACTAATCCATCTGGTCTGGGACAATTTCCAACACTCCCAATCTGTCAACAGTTCCAAACAGCTGCCATTTCACAAATAAAGCCAGTCTTTCAGACAAATGTTGTCTTCTTTCCCTAAAGATGTGGCATTATTCTTTTCTTTGCCTCTCCTCTCATAAATCCCTCTGATGTGATGGGGGATCAGTAACTGGTCCTTGAAAAGGTGACTGAAGAAGTGGCAGATCCAGTAGCTGATAAACCATCTTAACCCCAGATGATAAAAGATTATTCACACTCACGATCTGGGACTCCAGATTCTAAAGAAATATGGGAATAATTTCTGCCTGAAAAAAAAAAAAAAAAGTGAAACATTATACTCAAACACGCAAAAAGGGTACATAAAATCTAGTTTTGAACTTTTCCCCCCCCCGAGATTTTTATTTATATGCTTGTGAAAATTCTGTGGGATGATATTCTAGCCTTATTGTAACACTGCAGTCAGTGGAATTTAAATTAAATTTATATGTGAGGAGAAGTGATGACAAGGTACTGTTTGAGTAAGGAAGGCACAAGACACTCATTGGAGCCATTTGCTCCAAATTTCCACCCACAAAATTTCCACAATTTTTAATACAGCCAGGATTATATCTTTGGGAGTCAGCTGGGAGTAAAATAAGATCATCCATAGATACAGCATACAAAGAGGTTGTGTGAACGTGGACATCCTTCTCAAAGCAGAAGGATTTATACTTATTGAAGGCTGCTGCTTCTCTGGTTGGGTTCCTCCAGCACATCTCCCTTGAAATGGGAGAAAGCTCTTGTAGCATTTAAAATAGCATAATTAGCTTAAGTTCAGATCTCTGATGTCACTGCCAAACTGTTCCTAGGTGTGGAACTACCTAGTTCAAATACTTCTGTGTCATGGTACAATTCACACATGCCCTGCAACACAAAGTTCAGAACAATGTTTGGCATCATATGATTTTATATCTGCCTATAGTATGCTGTTACAGAGAATAAATGTATGTACATACAACAGAGGAGTTTAAACTCCTGTAAAGACTCAACAGCAAAAATTTAAGGTTTTTTTTTTCATTAAGCATATTTATAGTTTCTTCGAATTGTCTGACATCTTCCACTTGAGGTACACTGGTTATCCAGTTGCAGAGAGACAAAACAGCACTACCAAGCAAACTGTTTAAAATATGCTAAATTATTTCCCCTGCATTCCTAAGAAACATTGTACTAGCAACTAAGTGATGGTTGGAAGTATGGTTCTATTATGTATTTATTTACTTATTTGTTACTTGAGTCTTTAAGACACAAGTAATATGATCATTCCCAATGAGTGCCAGAAACATTTTTACATAACACCAAAAATACAGCTAGTTATAAAGGCAAATGCAGCAATAGCATATTGGCTGCCACAAGCTTAATCATACCAGATCTATGTAAGTGCCTCTGTGCCTCACATGGTGTTATACATGGAGCTCTTGCTGGAGCCAATCCTACCTACTTATTCAATTAATTCAGATGGAGTTGAGTTGCAAGTTTTCAGCACTACCAAAGGTGTCTAATAAGGGCCTAAACTTACAGCCTTTGAAAGTGGAAGAATTCACTTTAAAAAAAGAATTATATAGAAGTATTTATTATGTAAATCAATAGCATTGTAGAGAAAGAGCCTATAGCACTCAATAGAAAATATTCCACAGAGATTTTGAACCATCCTACAGAATTTAACAGATAAGGCTATGGTTGGTATATGGCATGCAGGAACTAAAAAGAAACTATGCAAAATATACATTCTATATCAAGTCCCCAAATATTTTATATTAGTTTGTATGGGACCTTATTAAGTGTTAATATAAGTAGGACAGTTTCATTAATTCTATGTTCTATCAGGTTTTTCTCCCCAGGAGACACTATTTAGGAAGACAAATTTTTCTTCATGAACTTTCCACTAAAGCAAATAAGAAACGATTTCAAGACTTCCCTGTAAACAATCTTTGCTTTTAAAGAACAATAGGAGATATCAGTTATTCCAGACCAAGTCCTTTTCTCACTTAAGGTTTTTAATAGAGTTGTTTAGACAATGCACTCCATGCAACCCAGATACTGTGAGAGTATGCAATTTATTTAACTAGCTATGGATAAGCAAATATGTTTTCTTTTTTTTTCTGAGCACTGTTGAATGGAGCTTTTCCTTTAAGAAAACCCATTTTACTGTATTAAAAGGAAGTATTCATTATCAGTCAGTCAAGTTACTTTAGTCCTGAGATGTCCCAGTTTCAGAAAAGTTTGATTTATGCTTAAAGCTTTGGTAACTGGATAGTCTGTCATTGAGTGGGAAACACATTAATTCACATGGGAGAGTGAAACCAGAAGTGGTGAAAATTTGCCACTGCTTCGTAATACAACGGCTATGACAAAGTAATAACTCTTTTCAAAAAATTCTTTTGATGTTAAATTTGGTGCTGTAGCAGTTGCGGTAGAAATAGCCAGATTTCTACTGCCTAAAGTATCCCAGGACTTCATTTCAGTAGTTCAGGACTTCAAAAATACAGCAACAAATATTATCTATACGGTGTGGCGAAGTTGGCAGAAGTTGTTTTTTCATGGTCAGAGTTGGTTATTCAGAATTTGGAAGGAGCTTTATATCCAACACTGTTCAGTGAAATATCTTAATATATGACTGATTTTTGAGGATTCCACAGCACTAAGAAATACTCCTGAGAATTTATTCTACTTTTAGTTACAGAGCTGAGACTGTGGGGGTTCCTAAGGAACTGGCCACTGGAATTTCTTGTGTGATAACCAACCCTACATTCCCTGAAAAAGGGAAGGGTGTAGGTTGAGTTACAGTAAGGAATGGCGACGATAGCATGAATGGGCTGCAAGAAGGATTAGGATCAAAATGAAAATGACTTGACCTTAGAAGATTCCTAGTTAGAAGGAATAAAGAGTTGAAGAAAACAGTAATATGATACAATTTTTACACGTCTCTAAAAATATCAGCATAGTCACCGTGGATTCATGATGAAAACTTTATAATACCACAAGACCAAACAACGCAAGACCACCTACCCAGCCACCCTTTTTAACCTCTGGATAGAACTGATGTATGATTGATAGACACCAACTATGGAAATATTTCACAAGGGGCAGAAAAGGAAGGTTTTCCATGGGGCGTATTGTTTTCAGAAACTTTCTTAGCTCCGTAAATAACTCTGGTTCAAGTAAATGAAGAGGATGCTCTGCAGCTCTTTATCCCCGTGCTGTATGTAACCTGGGCAGGCTGCTGACTGGGCTGACAGCGGTCCCACTCATGCCTCACAGGAAACCAAAGACTCAAGGCACACGGCACACGTACTCACGTGAGATAAGACTTCCACGGGGAAAGGAGGCTCTGTGAGTTTCCCACTCACTGCTCGATTTCTAGAGTTGAGGTTGTACCTTGGGACACAGTTTGGGTTTTGGTACTGCTGCACTACAAACAAGGTTAAGAGGATGTCAGCACCTCAGAAGTGAGCAAACCCACATCTGCGGAGTCAGCAGAGGCATTATCTGGAAGATTTTTGACATGGGGCCCCTTTTACTTTAGGCATGGATGGGATTATGAAGAGGACACGCTAATGTTTGCTAACCACAACAGAGCTGCCCTGTTTGATACCACACAAACTGATGAGACTGTAAAAATTCCTTGGGGGCTTTATGGAAAATAGATCCTTGTTTTAATTCTGTTCTATGATTAGTTACTGCTTCATACTTTTTTTTTTTTTTTTTTTACCCCCCTCGGGGGCCCCCCATCCAAGTGGCTTAAGCACAGAGCTGGAGAAAGGGAGGATGGGGGCCCCGG